TGATTTGTGCTAGACTAAGGGTCACTGTGGCCATGAAGAAGGTTCTAGAATGACCAGGCAGTAGGCTCCAGGTCTTGGCAGCAGTGACAGAGTTGAAGGAGGGGGAGAGGAAGGCATCTAGGATGAGTCCATACTGGAAAGCCGGTGGGGGAGGGGAGATGCTGCTACCGTACTGTGTCCTGGGGACCCAAGTCTCAGAGATCAACTGTGGGGAGGCAGGAGCCTCCTCTTCTCCACCTTTGCCTCCTCAGCACTTCATTTCTCCTTTCACCTTTTGTTCCAATGGTGCCTACACCACCACCTGCCTCACACAGCCCTTGTCTGGGCCCTTCGGACTCACCAGATGCAGGGATTGTAACGATGGGGCTCTCTTCACTTTGGGGGTGCTGGTGTGTGAAGCCGGACCAGGTGCAGGGGGCTGCAGCTGCTCCACACTGCAGCTGCGGGACTTGCCCAACTTGGGCCGTGTGCCCTGGCCCAAGGCCAAGAAGAACTTTTTCAGCCCCAGGGTGGTGATGCTGCTGCTGGCTTTCTTGTTCCTGTCAGAAGGGGCAGCTGAGGGCGGGCCAGGTCCTGCACTGACCCCTGGTAGGTCTCTGAAATGCAAGGGTGGACATGAGGTTGGGGGGGGGAGGGCTGTGGAAGCGAGGGTGGGCTTCTCCTCCGGGTTCTGTGGGCCCCAGATGAGCCAGCACCACGCCTTGTGGAGGAAGAGACAGCCAGGCTGCAGAAAGAAAGGCTGAGTGGATCTTGCACGGTAGCTTTTAGAAAGGGCAGCTCAGACAGGACCCTTGGTTTCACACTCAACAGTGGGTTTACCCGATCATTCATTCATTCATTTGCTCATTCACTATTTCCAAAGAACCTCTTCTAGGCCTCTCGTAGGCACTGGGACATGTGGCAAATGGCCTGGGTAAGTGAGAGTGATAAGCAGACAGACAAGGTTCTGACTCTTGGGAGCTTATAAACAGCAGATTAGGAAGCCAAGGAGAGACACCATCAGCGACTGCTGAGTAGGGTGAAGCAGAGAGAGACAGGGTGGCCAGGGAAGGCCTCTCTGAGGAGATGACCTTTAAACTGAAAGTTGAATGGCAAGAAGTCAGTCCCACCAAGCCCAGAAATGAGAGCTCCAGGGAGAAAAAAGCTGGCAACAAAGCTCGAGGGCAGGAAGGGGGCTGGTGCATTCAAGAACATAGCGGGGCCAGGCCATTAGGGTGTGGATATCATCAAGAGCAAGGGACAAGAAGCAGGTGAGGTCAGACAGGCAGATTACACTGAACACATAAACCAAGGCAAGAGGTTTGAATTCTACTCCAAGCTAAAGGAAAAACATGATGGGTTTTAAGTAAGAGAAATGACATCACTGAATTAAAGTTTCCAAAAGCTACCTTTGACTCTTGTGTGGAGAAGGTACCAGAGGGGGCAAGAGGGAAGGCAGAGAGCAGCAGGGCTGTTAGAGTTGCACAGAGAGAAGTAAGGCAGCTTAGACCAGGAGAAATGCAACACGGGTGGGCCTGGGGCTGGAGAGGACCGGCCAGTGGGTTGGAGTCGGAAAGAAGGAAAATGGGGCAGCTCAGAGGATGCCCAGATGTGGGTGTGAGCACTGTGGAGTGGTTCTGTGTTCGTGGGGAAGAGGCCCTGGGGGAAGCGGTTTTGGTCGGGGTGATCAACAATGCAGCGAGGCTCTCAGACACCCTGGTGGACATGTCAGGGAAAACGGGATGCACAGGTGTGGCGTTTGGGAGCACACAGGGCTGGAGATGGAGACTTGGCTTTCAGTGGCACGTGAAGCCTTGGGTCATATGTCGCCATGAATGATGCATAGCAGAGAAGAGGTGGCCCTGGCTAGAGGATGGCTCCCCAGAACAAGGACTCAGACATCACGCTAAAGCGAGAATGGCAATGTGAATGCTGAGCTCTTTCCTCAGCATCTGGTTGTCTCCAAGCCCAGAGCGAGGAACAAGTCCTCTCAGACAGGCTGTCCCAACCTAGGGCACCTTGAGGGCTGAGACTGGCTGGCTAGCTGTGCCTAGCACAGCACATGGAGCTTGAGGCCATTCAGTGAATGTTTGGTGAATACATAATCAAGCACATTAGGTTGGAAATGTTTGGGAGAGAAGCATTGGGGTGCCATGGTTAGATGTAAGTCTGGGAACCCTTCAAGGACTTGGGAGCAGTGAGGTCAGTCGTGCTACCACTCCAGGGGGGCTCTTTCTTCACTTCGCACCTCCCACCCCCACCTCCTACGGGCAGGGCTCACTCTTGCTCCTGTCACTCACTGGGATGACACAAGCCCTTCAGAACTTGACTCTGTCCTCTGCAGGCCTTCCTCTGGTTCCTGGCTGGACTCTGGCTCCTCTAAGGCCAGGGAGAAGGTGACACCCATGGAGCTGACGGTGCCAACACCTGCAGAGGTGAGAAAGTCATGGATTCCTCCTGCAACAACCACAGCATCCCTCCCATGTCACTGACCCATCCCACAAGGGAGGGGACAGTCCCAACCCAGAGGCAGGAGAGCCGGAGAAAGCTGGAGAGAGGCAGTGGTGAGACCCACAAAACAGGGACAGGGCCTTACTTCCTGCTGTTACCCCATTTCCCCCAGCACAATACTGGTGCACAGTAGCTGATTAATTAATGCCTGTTAAATGAAGGGACTGCTTGTGGTAAATCATTTCCCTCTTATATCAAGAGACATAGTTGAGAGCAGGGGAATATTTTGTATTCCTGAGGCATCTGGAATGTGCTGGGCAATGAGTTAAACCCTCCCCAGAGATTATTTCATGGGTTCCTAGGAGACAGGTTCTATGATTACCCTCAGATTACAGTGAAGGAGCCTGGAGTGTAAAGGGGTCCAGTGATGTGCCCAGGACCTCCTGGCTAACGAGAAGAGGAGCCTCACCTGGGCCTCTGCTCCAGGCTCCAAGGAGGTGAAGGCCGGCTGCCCAAAAAGGTCAGCAGCTCTCAGAATAGAAGATCCACAGGAAGTGGTTAAGGGCAGCCAGCCTAGAGCCCACCAGGGAAGGAAACCACACCTTAGTTCAAGGAGGGGCCTGCTTCCTCCAGGTTCATGTGAGCAAGGGCGGGAGAGGGGTGGCCAGCACACAGGGTGGGGGAAGTCTTGGCATCCACATCCTCAGTAAGGTCGGCATGGCCTGTCGTCTGTCTGTCCTCTCCTCCTCCACTGTGTCCAAGCCCTCAATCCCTCCTGAGCCAGCCCAGCCCCAGGGCTGCCAGAGCTGTGGGCACATTAAAGCAGGCTGTGTGGGGTGGGCGTGTGACTCCTGCCTAAAAGTAAGTGGCTGAGGTGCTCACCTTAGCCCCCAACATCAGGGATCAAGAGCTAAGGCTGCTGATGCCCAGGATTTGCCCACATTATGTGGATCCCTTCCAAGGGCAGAGGTGATATCCTACATCCTTTGTCTGCTGAAACACACCAGTCCGCCCAGCAGGGCCGGGGGTCGGGGGGCGGGGGCCTCAGGTGCCAGAAAGCAAACCCAGCATTCCTTGTAAGAGCTTTGCCTGCTGCTCACTGTGTCCTCTGGACCAGTGGTTGCCAAACTTTGAGACCTCATGGACCACCAGTGGTCTGTGGACCACCGGTTGGCGATCGCTGCTCCAAAGGTTTCCTTAAACCAGCGGTCGCCAACCTTTTGGACTTCACGGATCACAAGTGGTCCATGGACCACCGATTGGCGACCGCTGCTCTGGACAGCATGTCTGTGCCTGGCCACGGAAGGTCTCAAGGGCAGGACCGCTGCTGAATTAATTCACTTATTGCATTTATTCCCCTCAGTGCCTAGAACAGTGCCTGGCATGTAACAGGTGCTCAAACAGTACTGAATGAATGAAATGAAGACATTGCAGGGGCATTTTAGCACTTACTACTCTAAGAAAATGGTCAATCCTAGAGCTGCTGCTTCTCCTAGCTCTGCTCATGGTACAATTTCCTTGCAGGGCACCAGCAGCCACTTAGCTTGGACCTTCTATACACCCCTCAGGATTCCCAGAGGTCAGAGGCTTCAGCACCACTTTCCCATGCTCTGCCTCCTCAGGGGAGTTGTTAACCCGCCTCCAGGCTGATGCTGAACCCTACACCCAGCCCACAGACCCCGCTAGCTTCCCTGACACCTGCCATTGATCAGGGGGCTCCACGGGGCTGCTAGGAATGGTGTGTGGCCGTGTAACCTATGAAGACGAGCAGTAAGAGAAGGATGTGTGAGACCACAGACTTGGCCTCAGCTCTAGGACTGCCCCAGACGGGGGCCACCTTACCACCTCTGCAGTTCTCCAGGGGTGCCTCAGGCTCCTGGCTGCTGGTGCCCTTCTCCACCCTGCCCTCGAGGAATGCGCCCCCCGAGGACCCAGGCACACTGTTGTTGCAGTTGTTGGTGGAGAGGCCCAGCAGTGGGTGCCCGCCGTGGTGGCTGCAGGGCTGTGTCTGTGGGGGGCTGAGCTCACGGGTCCTGGGAACTACACTTCCTGAAGGAGGCCGGGGGGTGCTTGAAGATTCTCCCCGGTCACCGGGCCTGCGGGGTGCCTTCCTGTGAGGCCCAGGTGAAGTGGTTTTCCTGGAAGAAGGAGGAGTTGGCACCCAGCCTTCCGAGGAAAGGGAAGCTGTTGGCTGCTGGGCCTGGTGTGGGGCAGAGGGCTCTGCGTGGCTCTGTTGCAGGGGGATGGTTTCCAGAGATTGGTGGCTTCCCATAACCTGGTCTTGTCTGCCGGGCCCCAAGGGTGCCAGCTTCACGAAGCACAGAGCCGAGGAATCCACAGAGGGGGCCCAGTGGTTTCCTGGTCGCAACTCCCCCTGGGGCCCCAGGGGGGCCCCCTCAGGTTCCTGCCAAGGAGGCTTGGAGTAAGGGTTTTCTCTGGGGAACAGAGTCCCCTCGGGTGTGTGTCCTCTGCCTTCTTTCACTGCATCTGAAACCTCCAGATCAACCCCAGGCAGGTTGTGCGGGGCCGGAGGGCTCTCCGGTGGCTCCCTTTCAGCCTTCCGGCACCACCGGTGGCCTCCACGAGGCCTGGAGCCCCGCAGTCGGGGGCCGCGGGCTCTGGGGGGCTGAGAGGTCCCGGCCTCTTCGCTGTCGGTCCTGCAGCTGTCGGAGGTGTCCGTGCTGTCCAGGGCGGAGTCCACCTCCTCGGGGCGCACAGAGTCTCCCCTACGTGTCTCCCGGATCTGTTCGGTGCGGGGCCCTTGCTCGGCGGGGAGCAGCCTGAAGGGGGCGCTCAAGCCCCAAGAGCTAAGGGGCTCTGCCAACCCTCCCTCCAGGCCACAGGCAGCCCCCTGCTCCTGGAGGAGCTGGGGGTCCCGGGCTGCCTTCCCAACGGCAGGGCGTAGATCCTCGATGCGACTGCCGCAGGCTCGGCAGGTCCTCTCGATGCCCCGTGTGGGCGGCCGCTCCGGGAAGGCTCTCCGGTCCAGGTGGCCCACAAGCCTGTGCAGAGTCCGTTCGCTTGCGTCCCTGCGCAGGAGGCCCCCGGCGATGTAGTCTGCGAGCTCTGGCTTGGAGCGCAGGGGGCCCTGCTCGGCCATCTGCAGCGCAGGGCTCAGCCCCTGGCGCTGGCGCTGCTGCAGCCGCTCCAGGTAGCGGGACTCGGCCTCCCGGGCAGACTCATCCTCAAAGCGGACGTGGGACGGGGAGGGGCCCCGCTTCGGCCACTGCCCGCTGCTGGACTCCCCGCTGGAGGAGTCGCTCGTGCTCCCGTTGTGGCGGTTGTCTCTGCAGGCAAAGGGCATCCTCCGGTCCAGGGTTGGGTTTCTCCTGCCATCCCTGATGGGGAAACAGAAGCAAGGCCCCAGAAGTGAGGAGGAAGGTAGCCTGGGGTGCTCCGTGGTAACCACAACCCCAAAGTTACCCCAAATCAGGTTCCTGGGGAGTCAGGCAGCAAACCAGAGTAGCTCACAAGCCCATCCAGAGCCGGAGACATGGCGCTAAAGAGCATCAACAGGACCTTCTTTATTGTGCATTTCCCTCTGTTACCAGCTCAGCCTGAGTTAAGATGAAACTTTATTAAACTCAGATTGTACAGGAAGATGACACCAAAGTCCTCCAGCGTGGCATGCGTGATGTGCGTGTGTGCACACAGGAGTGCATGAGCCCGGCCACCATGGCCTCCGGCAGTGATGACTTGTGGCAGTACCATATTTGCTATAAAGATTTAATGGGAAGAGTACATTTTAAGTCTCTATAGAGACTGTGTGGGACCAGAAGTTAGGGTTTCTTGCTCTCCCTCTGGGTTCCCAATCGTCTTGCTTTGACAAAATTTAGACAGAGCGACATTGATACTCCAGATGCTCCCTCTGTCTGTTCCCACACCCCTTCCCTGTACCTGTCCCACCTCAGCCCCTCAAGCACACTCATCCTGAAAAGCTGTGATGAGAATTACTGTGCTAGGAAAAGTCTCCGCATTCTGTCACCAACCTGTGCTCTGGGAGACACTGTGCCTGGTGGTCAAGTCAGATCTCACACCAGGGCGCCCTGGAGCAGGTTACCTGACTTTCAGACCACTATGCGAATGGACCCATTTTTCTGTCAGAGGCCAGGTAAGTACCATACTTCTCCCTCCCTGAAGACCCATCTACACCTGGATCACTTTAGGCTGTCAGGGCCTGAGGAAGGGGCTGTGGGACAATCACATCTAAAAAGGGATCCAGGTCCTGCCAGCCACATCACTGACCTTAACTTTTATTTTTTAAAATAAATTTTATTGATTTCAGAGGGAGAGAGAAATAGAAACATCAATGATGAGAATCATTCATCAGCTGCCTCCTACATGCCCCACACTGGGGATCGAGCCTGCACCCTGGGCATGTACCCTGACTGGGAATTGAACCTTAACCTCCTGGTTCATGGGTTGATGTTCAACCACTGAGCCATGCCGGTCGGGCTGACCTTAACTTTTAACACAAGATGGTGAACTGAGTCACCCTGGAATTTATGCCAAAGGTAGAAATACTATTTCTGTTCCCAAAGGAGAACTGAAGGAGAGCTTAATCACATGAGGCACCTTCAACTCAAGTATTAAAACCCAGAGGCCTCCGCCAGCCGTGCTGGGACAGTGCAGAAAGGTGCCAGGAGGATTTGGAAGACAAGTGCAGAGCCAACAAGGGACTTCAGCAGCGAGCAAATCCCACCCTGCTAAGCTTCTCAGCCAGCGGATACCTCAGTATGCATCCTCGGAGAGGACTCTGTCAGGCTCAGAACCTGGGCTGAATGGCCTATGGGAAGGATGGGAAGGCCACCTTCTGGAGCCCACTTTCTGTAACAATGCTATCCTAACCACACACTCAATACATCCCACTCAAGCTCTATAGTTTGAACACAGCCACTTTCTGACACAGGACAATGGCACTTATGGTGTCACCTCCCAGGTCCTGCATCTTGCTGACATGTTTACCCTCCTGAGATTAGAGACCAACAGGCTAGATGTATCTGTCCCCCAAACGGCAAGAGCGTGTATTTCCAAGAGCTGCTTGATATCAATGCTGATGTGTTTCCAGGGAATGCAGCTACTGCTACCTCTTCACCTTCTGGCAAAGCCTGTCTGTCTGTTTCGGCTGCCCCAGCCGCCTCCACCAGACCTAGGATACAAAAGCCCTCTGAAGATGGCTCTGCTAGCCCTGACTCTTCCATCATTTTTCACTGCTCTTTGGAAGGAGTGATGCCTCTGGGCTGGCTGGGGTGTAGGGAGGCTCCTGCATCTAACCGAGACCCAGGGCCTACGTGGCATCTCTATGTTAACTCAGCACGGCTCTCCAGGATGATCTGACCAGCATAACCTTTAAGAGCATCTGTAGCAAGCCATCTGGCATTGATTTTTCAGCTCTACCCTCTGAGGATTCACCAGTGCTGCCAAGTCAAAGTAATTCCTTTCTGGACACAGCAGCTGCTAAAGTGGGTCGCCTTGCTTTCCGATAGCATTTCTACAGCCAGGGGACAGGCTGGTAGAGGGGAACCTACTTAAGGTCAGTGAATGGGTTGTTGTGAGCTGCTGACATGATTCAGGGAAGAGGAAGCATACAAGAGTACATTTACATAGTCAAGTATATTTTGCAAATAGACTTGCCTATGTGAGGCTACCCAATCCAACCTATATACCTGTGGAAATTGAAACAGGAGGGTTCCATGGAAGTCAAAGGCTCTGGGCCCCATATACATGCAGAGAATAGTTAGGCTGCTTCAGAGAAGCCATGCCCATTCATAACTAGTGCTCTCCAGCCAGAGGAAGACAAGGCACAAAATGTGGAAATAAAAGGGTAGCCTGTTTGGCACCTGTTGCCAGGGTACAGGGTCTCCTGAGCCCCTCTCCTAAGGGCCACACTGACACTGAGCACAGAGGCAGGCCACAGCCCTCTGCTCATGCCGGAGTCATCTCAATGGTGCTGTGAAGGTCCTTGCCCTTTCATGATTGGTCTCAGCATCCTCCATCAAAGAGCATGTGGTGCAGTTCCACTGAGAAGCCTCATTTCCTCTAGTGCCACGTGGTGATGAAAACTGGCAGGCCCAGCACGCCCACCATGTCACGGAAGCCACAGGCCTTATCGACCACAGAGAGGGTCCTGCTCAGGCCTGGTGCAATCTGCCACAGGCTGGCCATCTCATCTCAGGCCCAGAACTCCACATGTAAGTGATTCTTTGCAGTGCACCGTACATAGAACAGTCCCAATGACGGTGATAGGGTGTGACTCAGGGAGCAGCCACATATGCGAAGTGCTGGTCTGAATGTCCTTGAACTTGTTTCTTTCCCATCTCTCCATCCTTGATGCACCCAGGCTCACCCACAGCTCCAGCATCTTGAAAACAGGGTAATACCCAAACCTGCAGTACTGACCTCTCTCCTCTACAGATCCCAGATCCAACTACCTGATAAGGGTCTCCAGTGGGTGCTCTGGGGGTAACTCCCTTCCAAGCCTGGCCGTGCACCTAGGCCTCACCCCTTGCATAAGGTCCCATCGAACCTTCAGACACCAAGTCAGAACCCTGGGTTCCATTCTGGATCCTCCCCTCTCCTACTTCCTACATCTAGTTAATCACGGTAGTCCCCCCTTTTCTGTGGATTCGCTTTCTGTGGTTTCAGTCACCTGTGGTCAATAGCTGTCAGAAAATATTGAGTGGAAAATTCCAGAAATAAAGAATTCATAAGTTTTCAATTGCATGCCGTTCTCAGTTATGTGATGAAATCTTGCACTGTCCCACACCATCCCACCAGGGACATGAATCATCCCTTTGTTTAGTGTGTCTCCACACTGTATATGCTCTCCGCCCATTAGTCACTTAGTAGCTCTCTCAGTTATCAGATCAACTGTGTGGTATAGCAGTGCTTGTGTTCAAATAGCCCTTATTTTACCTAATAATGGCCCCAAAGAGCAATAGTAGTGATGTTGACAATTTGGATATGCCAAAGCGAAGCTATAATGTGCTTCCTTTAAGTGAAAAGGTATGAATGTAGAGGAAAAACATAGGGTATATAGGGTTCAGTACTATCTCTAGTTTCAGGCATCCATTGGGGGTCTTGGAACATATCCCCCAGTGGAGAAGTGGAGGCCACTCTAAGTTACTCTCAAGAGGTAACGCTCACAGAGTACTCACTATGTGCTAGGAGCTATTCTAAACACTTTACATGTACTTATTAACTCATATAACCCTCACAACAACTCTGTAACATAGGCACTATTATAACCCCATTTTGCAGATGAGGAAACTGAGGCACTGAGACTTCCCCAAAGACACACAGCTAAAAAGAGGCAGAGCCAAAATTCAACCCAGTGGTCTGGTTCCAGAGTCTTCTAACCACTTTCTCTGCCGCCTCATTAAAGCTGCTTCCTTCTGGCTCTCAGTAGTCTCTTCTCTCCAAACCCTCCTCCCCATCACATTGCACCAGGAGCGCGGTGCCGGCTCCTCACTGCCCCGGAACCCCAGATCCAACACATCTTTGCAGCCAGGACCGCTTTACTGAATCGCAAACGTGATCATGCTACCCACCTGCTTAAAACCCTTTGTGATGCCTCACTGTTATGAGAGACATGCAAACTGTTCAGCAGTCCTGGGGGCTTCCATGACTGGCCTGCGCGGAGCTCTCTGGTCTTCACACCAGGCACCCAGCAGGTCCTCAGGCTCCAGCCTGGCCAGACTCCTGAGCACAGGGCTTCTGCTCGTGATTTCTGCTTGGGATGCTCACCCCTGCCTCCCTCATCTGTCCAGTGAATATTCAGTCTCCTTCAAGCCCCAACTTAGAAACCGCCTCCTCTTAAGCCTCCCAGTCCTTCCCAGGTGAAGGTACAGATTTCCTGCCCCGCACGCATGTCTTTCCTACACCACGACCCACAGAATTGTATTGATCCCTTTGCCTGCCTTTCTTCCTGGAGACAGTGACTTTTGTCCCTCCAGGGAGCTCGGATTATGTTTTATTCATCTTCATATCCTCAATGCTTAACACTCTAGGCCCTCAGTAAAAGTATGTTGACCAACTAAATGAATTAAAGCAAATACCCGATATGGGAAACACACACACACACACACACACACACACACACACACGGGAGGAGTGAGCAGAGGCATTCTGGCGAGGTCCCATCTCTTCTCCCTGGCCCAGGCCCCACTCACCGGCCACCCTGGTCAATGGTGGGCATGATATCATGGCTGGCACGGAGGGGCCGGGTCCTGGCCTTCATGCGGGCTCGCTGCAGCAGGTGCTTGGCTTCCTCATGCCTGGGGCTCCTCAGCACGGGCTCCGGCTTGGGGCCAAAGGTCCTGCAGGGTGGCACACAGGCAGGAGCAAGCGGGGGGTGGGGGGGGGGAATTAGAAGAAAATAACATGGATTAGGAGGGCTTTAACAGTATCTGGCACGGCTATGCCAGGTAAACCCTGCATGGGCTGCCATCCTTGTCCAACTCTCACAGAAGGCCCTGAGCTCCTCCGGACAGGGCTGCAGAGCTGGCCCGCCTTGGACATCTGCTCAGGCACCAGAGGCAGAGACCCCAGGAGGATCTAGAAAAGGGTAGAGGAGTCTCCAGATTATTTTATTGTTCCTTTCCTGGCAGACAGCAGGAGTTACATGGCTGGGGGAGGGAGAGAAAAGGGCCTCGGTTGTTGGGTTGGGCCTGTGCCCGGCCAGATGGTCTTTACACGCATCATCTCCCCCTCTCCTTCTGTCTCTTTGCACCCACACATACCCTCTCAAGCTCCCGAGCACCACCATGAGCTCCCCCCACAGGCACACCGACTCAGGGCTCTGCCCATTGCAGCTCTGCTCTTTGGAGAAGTGACGTTTTTATAGGTCCTGCTGTTTTTCTGCCTCAATCCCAATCCAGACCCATCAGGCATCCGTTGAGGGCTGGGAGAAATTAAGCTGGACCCATACCAAGTTGGCAAATGGCTTGATTTTCATAATTACAAGGGTCCTCACCAGCCCTCATCACCTACACGTTGTGCTGCCTCCCCAGCCAGTCCAGAGCTGCAGAAAATGACAGCAGCCCTTTTTCAACGCTGTCTTGCAGACAGTGACATACAGCCGGCGCCGGGTTACAGCAGTAACAGCATCCCCACAGCCTTCTACTGATAAGATGTTTCTCTCCACAGAGCTCACGCTCCCAGCCAGGCCGGCCAAAGGCAGGTGTTCGCTCCGTTTGACAGATGAGGGTGCTCCGGAGCGGAGAGGCACACTTGGCACATTGCTCAAGGTCGAACATCAGTTGAGAGAGCAGAGCAGACGATAGCCAGCCCCACTGCCTCCAGCATCCTTCCCATATCCTCTGTCCCCTCTCCTTCCTGGGTCCCAGGACAGGCTGAGGGTGTTTGTGGCTAGAGTCAGACATGCTCTTTGATGTGATTTCAGCACCCCCCGTGGCTGCCCCTGTCCTCACCAGGGAGGTCTGCAGGAGGAAGCTCAGGCAGGGAGAGGCTCAGCAGAGCCTAGTCCTCTGCCTACCCCATTCTTTCCCATCGTATGTAACCTGGAGAAACGGGCCTTGCGCTGATAGGGAGTAGGTGCCAAGTAGTTTCCTAGATGACAGGTGACAGATCTGTGAGTGGCATAACTCTGAAGCCCTCTTGGGACATCCTGAGATAAGCTCTGGGCAGTCTAGGATTTTTTTCTCCCTCCCTTCTTCCCTCCCCCTCCCTCCCTCCCTTCCTCTCTACCTACTTCCCTCCCTCCCTCCCTCCTTTCTTCTTTCCTTCCTTCTTCCTTTCTTCCTTTCTTTTTCTTATTATTTGTGCCTTACCCTGCTTTGAGGCCCAAGAAAACAAAAAGTGCTGCTAGTATAAAGGCACCATCTGTGCCTATGAACCCTGGCAGGCCCAGGCACAGTTTTGGAACCAGGAGGGTTGACTAGAGTGATGTGCAAGCGAGTCTCCAGGCCTGCTGCCCTGCGCAGCCTCTTTTGGCAGGAGAGGCCTCCCTGTGCACAGCTTCCCGAGCAGGCAGCTCCTCCAACACACGGCTGAGAGCAGCTCTGCTCCCTGGGGCTCCTGCTCCGACAGCAGAGATAATGAGGTTACCAGCCCGGAGAGCTGCCCCTGCAGCTGCGGGCCTCTGGCTGCCAGCCTGCGCACTCGGAGCCTTCCGGTGACAGCTGCGGTTCCCTGGCTGTCGGGGGGCATTTGTCACAAGACCTGGTGGGCAGGCAGGAGGGCCCCAGGCAGCTGGCCAGATGCTGCCAAGATCGGCCTTGCCCCAGGTTTCTAAGCCATTTCCCAACTTTGCTATTTCCTTTCTGTCCCTCAAATTGGAGCGGTTGATTCCCCCCGCCCCCCCATCAGCTGCCCTGCTTCGGTTCCTGACACACAAAGCTGTTTTTCCCACTGATTAGAAAAACAGAGCTTTTGGGGCGCCTGGAGGCATCCATGCAGTAACAAACTGAGAAGGGGGAGAGTGGCAGTCACCTTCACAGATGGCAGCCAATGTTAGCAGGGGAGGCAATTCCTAGTCCATGGTACACCCTGGAGAGGGCAGGCACTGCCCAGCCCTTGGAGGGAAGGTGGTATTTCTCCCATGACAGGGGGCATGGGAGATGGTGAGGGATGGTGAGCCTGCCCCCGTCTAACTGCCCACCTCCTATGGCCGCATCATACTGGTCCCCTGCAGGGGTACCAACCCCAGCAGACAGGCAGGCTCAGACTCTTCCATCTGAGGAAGCCCTTCCAGTCTACTCTGACCTTGGCTTCCGACAAGGGCACACAGCCCTGGAGCCAAACTCTTCCCATCATGAACTATCACCCACAACCCCAGCTCTCACAATTCTGGGAAGTGTCCTGAAAGGGTTGGGCAGCTAGAGCATGGCTAGGTAAAGGCAATTCCACCTGAGAATAGACGGCTTTGGCCACTTCCTGAACCCCTGCACACGTGGGCTCGTTTGCTCAGCGGGGAGGGCACAGGGATCAAGTGGCTGAGTGCTTTTCCTCCCTGAGCCTCAGTTCCCCATCTGTAAACAGTAGGCATATAATAGGGGAGAGGACTCACGACCCTGTGAGTCTGTGTCTTTGGCTAGGGAGTCTAGTGCACCCCAAAGTGGGGTGGGGAGACTCTGACACTCTCCCTGTGGGGTTCACACCACAGATGTTTGGCCCTCAAGGAGCAGCAAACCCTACAAAACAAGGGGAATTCCATGTGAGTATTCTGGCCCTTCCCTTGGCCCCTCCAACCACCAGGGTCCTAAGCTGCTTCCCAAGGACAATGGGCAGCATGTGGCCCCCTCCCCTCTGGTTTTTCCATCTACGCCAGTTTCTCGTTGAAGGCACAGGCAGGTCAAGATCTCGAGTCCTCTCCTAGCCAGGACAGAGTGGCCTCTTTCTGCAGCCATCATAATCCTGGATTAAAACAATAAGTTCCAACAAGTCTGGGTTTAACCCTTTCATCCCAGGAACACGATTTAGGGAAATAATTTGGCATGTAACACCAACTGACATTTCCCAGTTTATAGGATGAGGTGGGTAGAGAGAAAATATATAGTGTACAGGACATACATAAACTTTCTGCCCAGCATTTGTTTCGTTTTTGTATATTATCTAGCCTTTTGATGACCAAGGATAGAGTGCTCCTGCTGTCACACTGTGTGTAGTTTCCTGAGTGAGGGGAAGAATAAGGAAGGCCTGGTACTCTGGATTGTGCGCTTCATGAGGCAGGGACCTTATCTTGGTGCATTCTTCTCTGGGCTGCAGGATGCTGACAGGCCAGAGCCAAGAGCGGTGGTTCTGGGCAGCCTGCCTAGGCTCCTGTTCTGGACTGCCACTTACTAGCTGTGTCACCCTGACAGGTTGCTTAGGGGTTAAGTCTCAGTTTCCCCATCTGCTAACTAAGGACTCAGTTGTTAAGAGAGACCTGAGTCTCTTTAAAGGGGTTAGCACAGGGCTGTTCACATTTACGATGATTATTGCTGTTCTTAGTAGCACCATTATTTTGTTAAATTACTCTCACCCCCTCACTGAATAAAGAATGCAATCCCTCAACAGGAACTGAAACCACCTGCCAAAGAGATGGCCCGGCAGTAGCCTGTAAGGGAAGTCGTGTTTGGAGTTGACACGCCATCTCGAAGCTAGAGAGGGCGAGGTGGTGCTTTGTCTTTAGACTTTCACAAACCTTTGACAGGGCTTCACACAAATCATCTTTCACAGAGGACGCTGTTGGGTAGCAGAGGGAACCAGCTGTCTAGACCATAAACAGGAGCTTCTCTCAGCAGAGAAGGAAGAGAGGGCACCCTTAAACAGGACTGCTTTGAACATACTTCATTTAACAGCTCTCAAAGGATCTGGGTGGAGCCGCACAGAGCTTTCCTAAGACATCACAGTGTCTCCATCCTTGCCTTCTTGAAGAAGGCTAACAAGTTCCCCACTGGGCTGGCCATCTGGTGTGGGGGGACAGGTGTCCAAGACACCCCAGATGCGGGGACAATGGCCTGCTCAGGTCTGGTGGCCAGAAATTCCTCTTCCTGAATTTCAGCCTGACTCCCCAAAGATGACTTCTTAAATTGGCTTTCTTGAGCCCCTCTATTCATAAAAGTTGGGACCTGAATGAGATTTTAGTGTGAGTGCGATAATGACATGGCATGGAAGTCCCAGGTGGCACTAGCTATGTGGTAGGACGTCAAGTGTTAGTTAGCATCCTTCCCTCTCCATCTAGGATTTAGAACACTAGATGCGTCAGGAGCACGGTATTTGAAAACACTGGTGAATGGTTAAGTTACTTTTTCTTTCTAGTTTTGGTCTTGGTGGTTTGAGGAGTGGTAAGAGGGCTTCCCTCTAGCTTTCCTTTGAGTCCATAATTGAATCAGCAGGCAGGACTGGGAATAGCGAGGATAAGCAGGGTGGGCAGGGCTCGGTCATTCTTCCTTACATTCTTGCTTCGGGTGTCCTCAGGTACCTACAGCCCCGAGAATCCTGGGAGGTGCAGGAGTGTCTCTTCCCCAATGCTCACCCCCAGGACTTATCATGACCTCCTGATCCTAGGGGCCCAGAAGATCCAGAACCTGACTCCTGAGCAAAAATGACTCCAATGAAACATGTACCAGGCCAGGGATGAGGCCAATCTCTGAGCAGACAGCAGTGGGCAGCAGCTCAGACTCACAGATGCCCCCCGCACCTCCACTGTGAGTGTACTCTGACCATCCTTCCCAGTCAGGACACTGTCCACGCCCCTAATCACCTGGTGTGCCCTCTTTCCCCAAGACACTGGCCGAGTGGCTAGAGCAAACTCTGTGGGATAGCAGGGTGGGATTGGAGGAGGAGAGATCCTTTACATGACCCCAGCACACCACCTCGATTGGGAAAGGAATTGGTGCAGTAAGTGCTTTGCATTTGTACACTTTCCCTAAGGTTTTTAAAACCATTATTTCCTTTTAGACTCACACAGTCCTATGAAATCAACCACACACATATTAGTTGTCCCAATTTAAAGATGAAGAAACAGAGGCCAGTCAGGGGAACCAAATCCCACAAAGTAAGAGTACATCATTTGCAATGCTCTGCACAGTGCCTCATGCCCAGAGTGGTTTTGCTGAAGTAGCAGGCAGGCCCAGCCTGGGACATGAGGTGACTGGCACCCTCTACTCTGTCTCAGAGTTGACAATCCATAGTCACCCATTGTCCCCTGATCTGCCCTTGTTCTTAAATTGGCTTTCTTGAGCCCCTCTATTGATAAAAGGTCTCCTACTCTCCCGTTGATTGGTAAATGGAGGGACAATGGTGAGGAGGGAGAGAGAGAAAGGGTGCGCTCTGAGCTCTTACCTGTTCTGGTCTGAGTCCTGCAGGGAGATGCCTGAGTCCCAGTCCATGTCCCCAGATGGTTGCTCTAGGACCCAGAACAGAAGCAGAGATCAGGGCAGAGCCAGCAACGGGGCTCTCCACTGCCACTTGAGGAATGTCAAGGAGAAACATGTCTCCAGAAGCCATTTGCTTCCCAGATAAACCCGCTCCTCTCCTCTGCCTGTGTCTCTGCCTGAGAGGTGGAGGCATGGCCTGTCACGGTGGCTGTGGGAGGCACTGCCGTGGGCTAAGGGGCCCACACGGGTCCTCTCGGGAGTGGGTGAGGAGTGAGCTCTTGGAATGGGAAAGAAGGGACAGAGGTGTCTTCTCAAGCTTGAACACTTGCACAGCCCAGTGGTGCTACTGCCTGAGTTCAGTCCACCTGACAAGATGCTCAGGGCACGTTAATGGAGGGCGATGCAAAGAGCCTCTAGAAAAGGCTACTTGCCACAGGAAAGAAGCTATGGTAGCCGCCATTCCCAAGCAGAGAGGGTGGCCTCCCATTGGCCTGGGGAGTCATGGGGGTACTCAGCAGGTGGAGCTGGTTGTGGGGTGGTAAACACTCTATGTCAAGGCCAAGAACAAGAGGACATCCTGATGATTTTGGTGACAGGCAGCTCTCCTCCCTCTCCTGCCCCAGCCCCTGTGCAGTACCCACTTCTGCTTTTCCTTCTGGACTCCCTTCTGCTGTCCCCACCACCCAGACCTGCAGAGTGAGCCTCACCTGATACAGCTCTGTCCCAGGATAGAGTCCGGGCTGGGATTCCCACCTTGGGGGGGCCCTGCCCCCCAACAATGAGCATCTCCTGCAGAAGAAGGCGGTTCCTTTCCACCTGTTCAGACAGGGGCAAGGCGCTGCGCCCAGTGCCCAGAGCCCCCAGGTCTCCGGCTCTCCAGAGGTCCCCCAGCAGGGCCGGCCTGGGGACAAAGTCCTCCTCGGAGGTTAGAGACAAGCTATCCAGGTCTTCGCCTGCAACTAGAGCATCCTGCAGGGGGCATGACCTTCCTTTCCTCAGGTTGGGCACATGCGTAATTTTGTTACAAGGTCTAGGGTCCCTAGATTGTCCTGAAGTGACTCTGTGGAGGGGGCTGTCTTGCGAAGAGCTGGACCCTGGCAGCAGACTCCTCTCATGGTCAGGCAGTATCCTTACTGTTTCTGGAGCCCACAGGCTCCTCCCACTGCAGCACTCTAGCCCAGGGGTGGGCGGCCTGGGAGGTCTGGGGCCCCCATTCATGGCAGGCTCCTTCTCATTGACACTCTTGTCCAGCGGTCCCTCGTTCGGGTTCTGAGCATGGAGAACCACAACTGTATCCAGCAAGGGAGACCCTGATGATGGAGTTCTGGCTCCACCCACTTTGACTCGTCGGCATTTGGGTTTCTTGGGGGGTAGTCTCTCATGGGTTGTGAGGCAGGGGCTTGCCCCCTGTTTGCCTGCTGTCATACTTTCCTTCAAGGCCCTGACCTTGGACTCCAGCACGGAGGGTCCTTGGGACGGTAACCCCCATGCCCTGGGAGGGTGGGGGGCCATCTGGCTGGGTGTTCTGTCTTCCTGAAGGCAGGACCAGGGTCTTGGGAGGTGTCCATTATTGGGCTGTGGCTCGGTGCCACTTCTCTCCATAGCTGAGGTCACTTCCATGGAGCTGGCTATTCTGCTCCCTATGTTGGGCTCTCTGGAAAATAAAATAGACAGAGCTCCTTAGACCCAGCCCCTGGCTAGCTCCAGCAACTTCCTGGGTCCCCAAAGCACCTTCATATTGAGCCCTGTCCAGACAAGAGTAATCTGGGGCAGAGCAGGGAATAAATACCTTGTAGATAATGTGAAAGCACTTTGGAAAGCAAAAATCACTGAATGATACAAAAAGGTATTATTAAATTTAGGTTTTCTAACTCTGTTTTACAGAGGGGGCACAAACATCAAACAACTAATCCTAAGCCAGATGTGGACCAGAGTGAAATGCCGGGTCAGATCTCCCAATGCCTGGCCTCTTGTTTGCCTGGCAGGTGATCTCAGTGAAGATGTGATATCACAAAGGACCTTTGGGTCTGACCGTCGGGTGTAAGATGCCCCCTGCACACCCCCCCACCCCCGTTCCACCCCTTCAAACCACAGGATTACAGCATGGTGCTATGCTCAAAGAGTGGCCATGATCAGTCACTAGCTCAGCCGTGGGCAAACTACGGCCTGCGGGCCGGATCCCGCCCGTTTGAAATGAATAAAACTAAAAAAAGAGACCGTACCCTTTTATGTAATGATGTTTACTTTGAATTTATATTAGTTCACACAAACACTCCATCCATGCTTTTGTTCCGGTCCTCCGGTCCAGTTTAAGAACACATTGTGGCCCTTGAGTCAAAAAGTTTGCCCACCCCTGCACTAGCTCCTACCAGCATCAACTCCAGGCAGGCCTGCAAGTGCTTTCAAACACACTCTCTCAAATAATCCTCACATCCTTCAGCCACACAACATTATTATCCTCATTTTCAGACTGTGAACCTGAGGTACGGCAAGATTATGTCACAGAGGTGCTAAAGGGAAGCCGGTTTGGAATGCAAAGCTTTTTGTTTCAAAGCCATGGCTCTTGCAAAGCACTCAGAGGTCACTTAACCTCACTCCCCTTATTCTATAATGAGAATAATCCAGACTAGAGGGCTTCGGTGACTTGCCAGGATGACACAGCTCCTTGGTGGCATAGTTTGCTGTCAGTCTCTTTGTAGGAATGCAAGTGAGCACGGGATTTTATTCACCAAGCCGTTCTGTGCACAAATACAGGCCACAAGGTCTTAATATTCACACTGCTCTCTGAGAAAATGTTCCCTTGATATCATACATCTAGATATGTCCCACTTGAAATAAACTGCATGTATAAAAATCCATATTTACATATATTACAAATTAGGAGTAAATTATTTACTTCATATGTTGACTAAAGAGTCACCATAGAATTACCTTAATTGGCAAGTCCCTCTACTTGTATATTACAATTGAATTTACACATGTCTCAGGCATGTACATATTTCATAAAGCAAAGTACACACGGTGCAAAATGTCGCATCAGCTTTCAGCCAGTGTAGTTTAGGGACCATCTTTAGAAGGCCGAGATCATCTACAGTTAAACTAGGATTTACCAACTTTCTCCTTGCAGCCTAGGGTTTCTCCCTTCTAAGGTTCAATCCAGAGAACGGGATTAGAATATAATGGGAGTGGTTTTGGTTAAATAAAAATAAACTTTCTGACGGGGGAACTCTAGACCTGTATTCCAGAGCTAATCCATCTAGGGAGACCTTCCGATGGGGCACTGCAGGCGGCCTGGGGAGACAGAAGGTGCTGCTCGCAGTGATTCTGTGGAGCTCAAACTCAAGAAAGGCTGAAATGAAGATGGACATGGAGGGCAGGCCTCCCCCAACCCTTACAGCTCCACCACCCCGCCACCCCACAGCGGCCGGCTCCTCTCCTCCTCCGTACTCACTGAAGGCCCCCACTGGCAGGTCTGGCTTCTGGCTCCTCCATCCCCTCCATCCTTGGACCAGCGAGCCCTCCGCTGATCCCCTCTCTCTCCCAGGCCCCCAGGCCAGGCTCCGCTCCCTGCTCGGCAGTCAGCCCTGGGCCCGGGTGGGGTCCAGCCGCGGCCTCCCTTTGGGCCGCAGGAGGGAAGCCGGTCGGGCAGGGATGGCTGTGGCATCGGCTGCTAGTTCGTGGCTGTGCCACGAAGGGGAAAAAGCCAAGCCCGGCGCCTTCCAGGGCCGGGACTGGGAGAGCGGAGCGGAGCGCAGACTGGAGGGGAGCGGAAGGGGCTGGAGCAGCGGGGCCTGCCCCGCCCGGCCTCGCCCCCTCGGCCCCGGCTGCAGCAGCCCCAGCCCCAGGGAGCGAGCGCCTCGCAGACGTCAGAGGGGCGGGAGGGCAGGCCAGGGCCGGCTGAGTTCGGGAACACGCCTGAGCCCTGTGGGGACACAGGGACGCGGGGTGCTTAGCCCGACCGACCCCTCGTGGCCGGTGGCGGACCCTGGGGCGGCTGTTGGCAGCGCAGCTGTGGGATGAGGCTCAACGGGAGCAAAAGCTAAGAAAACAGCACGTCTTCCGTGCTTCGTGGGAATGCGTGTAACTCTACACCCCAGGCTGGGAGTGAGGCTCCGCTATCCGGGTGGAAGCTACGGAATGCCCTTTGTTTAGACAGCCTTTCCAGAGGAGTTCGGAGCCCTCTTCCACAGGATGTCCCTGACGTTCCCATCAGCCTGGGGCACCATTTCCTTCGAGGTCAAGGTCATTAGTTTCTGTTTTGCAGAGGCGGGAGGGTAACCAGAGTAGAGGTGGGTTCCCCCATCCCGTCTTGCCAAAGGAGAGCCTGGTGCCTGCATTGCCAGCCCCCTGGGGTCGGCGCCTGGGTAGGGACCCCTGAAGACACCTTGTCACTTTTTCCAGACCTGGAAGTAGCAGTAAAGGGCTTCACCTGCACCTTCGGCCCAAGCCAACCGGAGCTTTCTCTCGTGCTACCCAGAGAGAGGTGCGGAACCTTGCCTATTTCCAAACCCATTTTTTCACCAAGGTTGGGAAACAAGAGAGTCAGGACCCGGGAGAGTCTGGAAATCTTTACAAAGGGAAAGTGCCATTCATCTTCCCTGCAGCCAGCAAGCTCTCTCTGAAGCATGGGTAGCTCTTCTATTTGCACATGTGTTCTACAGTCACCATCTAGATGACAGGCATAGCAACAGCAAGGACCACACAGTGAGGGTGCGGTGGCAGAGAGAAAGAGGCCAAGGTCATTCCCAGAGGAGGCCTCTTTAGTGAGGAATTCCCCTGTAGAAGGTGGGGCATGTGGGCAGGGCCAAAGCACCCAGTCCTGAGAGCAGCTGTTTGGGGAGCTGTGGTAGAATAGCCTTGAGCTAATTTAGGAACCCGGGGCAACCCCGCTGTGTTACAGAGCAGGCCCAAGGCCCCACAGCCCTCGCGACAGGCGGTTTCCAGAGTCCGGGCCCAGTGCTCTAGCAGTTAGCTCCCTTCCCTCTGCATTTTCCTAGAGCCAGTGGTTTCTCCAACAGGGCACACTGTTCTTTAGTACTGATCACCTCATGACAGAGTACCATCGATGACGGCATACTGTGCACCTGCATTGGGCTAAGCACACTGCTTTCCTTAGCTCATATGGCAACCTTAAAAGATGGGTACTGTGTATTATCTCCTTTCTGCAGATGGGGAAACTGAGTTACTAGCTCTGTGACCTTAGATGATCTGCCCAAGGTCACAGAGCTAGTAAGTGGCAGGCCTTCTGGAGTACGAGGTCCTCACATCAAATACACTGTACGAGCTGCCAGTATTCTGCATATTCAGCATGCAAAGCTTTAGTTTTTAAAAAAAAATCAAAAAAATTTCGGAAGTGCTATAATAGTCAAAATATGCAGCCAGCCATAATGGTCTGGCCTTTTCTTTCTGGGTCCTTTCTGCCTTCCTTAATCCTGCCATTCAAGGTGAAATCATTCCTCTCCTCCAAATGCCATGTCAAACCTAACAACAACAATACCATTATTATTATCAGGACCTCCTACGAACTCAGGTACTCCATATAGGACCTTTACAACAACCCTGCAAAGTGGGTATAGGGTCCCCCCATTTTAGTAATAAAGAAAACAGGGTACAGACAGATTAAGGGGCTTTCTCAGGGCCACACAGCAAGCAGAGAAGAAGCTGAACTAATCCTGACCAGCTCCAAGATCTTCCTTGCTTCCCTTTTCAGAGGCATCTCAGGACTCAAACTCTTAGAGGTAACTTCTCCATGACGCCTGTCCCCACCCCTCCCCCAGAAGTTAATGATCTCTAAGGCAAGTTTCTGAAAGTTCCAGCAGAGGCTTAATGTTTAAAAGAAACCTGCCCCCGCCCTCAACCTTTTGAGATGCAAATAAACACCTACAGTTTACTTATTAAATGTATTATACACTTAAGATAGGGGAACAGGGAGTCACATCTATACAGAGGCTTCAAAAGATCACGTATTTAAAAGCACCCATAAGCAAATCCTCCGAATGTGATCGAATTACCAAGATATGTGAATCTGAGGTACTTCTCATTCATTTGGATGCTGTTGGGTTCAGTAAATATCTGTTGAGCTCCTACTGTGTGCCGGGCACTGGGGAGACAAAATGTAATACCATAAAGCCTGTCCTTGAGACATTTCTGGTCAAGTGGGGCATGGAAGGGGCAGGCTGTAAACTTTCTGTATAAGCGCTCCCATTGAGGGTAGCATAGGGTAGTGGAGCTGGTCGGTTCACGGGAATGCATTGAGGTGTGTGGGGGGTGGGAGGGGATATCACAGAGAGCTAGGTCTTACAGAATCAGCAGAAGAGATTAGCATAAACACAGGCATTGAGGTGTGAAACTGCCTGGTTTCAGTATTACTAAGCATAAAAGTGAAACTGGGAAAGGCCACGGGAGAGCTGAAGCTGCAGCGTAGGGTGGTGTGGCCTGGTTTAGGGCCTCTGGGGTTAGGTGAGGAATTTACACTCCATCCTGTGAAGTGGAAATCTCTCAAAGGTGGTCTACCTTGGGCCTGCCCCCTTCAGCATAGCATGTTTCAGGGCTGGGGAACTACCGTATATCCTTATGCATCAGACTCTTTCATTTCATTACCATCTTTTGGAGAGAAATCTAGGAAGAACACAAATACATGGTAAGTAGCAATCACATAGCCCTCTTCCTCCATTTGAACAACTAGGGAAGCGCACCTTCCCCTCAGCCTGCATAAAACATCAAGCCTCACTCTTCCTCATGCTCTCAACACTCAGCCTGAATGAAGAGCCATGTGGAATATGGAAACTGAGTTCCACTTAGGATGAAGGCATAGGTGAGAAACAGTCCTTCAAGGTCACACTGTTAGAGTCAGGTGTATGTTGTGGGGAGTTGGGTGGGAGAGACATCTCTGCCATCCCCCTGCTGTACTGCCTGATGGAGCCTGTCCAACTGGAAACCTGAATTTTCTGGTGGCTCCTGTCTTGGTCATGGGACATGTGGTCTGAGGAGCGCCTGATGGGGACACTGCTCTCTGTCCTGGGTCTGTACTCAGGCTTCACGATTTCTTTTCAGTATAGACCCAAGAGAGTGTTGGGTCTGTCTCCCATGCACCTGCCTTCCCCCTGCTTAGAGCCCTCCCACGACTTCCCAAGGCCTGATTTGACCTGTGCCTGTTTAGAGAGTCTCCTGGGACACTGGCCTCACCCAAGGTGATTGTGATTCCTTAGGTTGGAGTAAGGCCCAGGAGTCTGCTTTCTAGTGTATTGCCCAGGTGAGGCTGAGGCCCAGTCAGTTTTGAGAAGCACAAGTCCTGGGATTAAAACACAAACTCCTTGACACAGTGCATGGTCCCTCCTGCCTCAGCTCTCACCACCCCAGCAGCCTACCCTGTGTGTCCTCCACATGGAATTGCTTCCAGTTCCCTCGACTGCCACACGGATTCATGGCTCCTTAGCTTTACCCAGGATTTCCTTTAGCCTGAAACACCCTGCTTCACTCCACACACACATACCAATTTCTCCTCCCCAGGAAAGCCTTCCCCAATACCTTCCACAGTCCTTCTGACCTGGGTTAGAGTACCCTGGGCTCGCTCCTGCCAGAGCACTTATCACACTCAGTTGTCAATATCTAATACTTCACAGAGAGCTTCCTGTTCCTTATCTTTGTCGCTGGTCCCTAACGTGTGCCCGGCCACATGGAAGGTATTGACTAAATGCCAGATGGTTACATGGAAGAGAGAAAAAAAAATCCCTGTCAAGTTAGAATGCCTAAGAGGAGAAGAAGGGGGCATTGCTTGCTAAGAGGATCTAGGCCATTTCCAAAGGATTTGGTTCATTCACTATGACTTGTCCTGCACAAGGGCCTGTGAGAAGTCAGTCACTGTCAGGGCCTGGCCAGCACCCAGGCTTCCTGACTGACTCCTATTTACACCTGGTGCCCAGGCCTCTTTGCCCCTGACCCTCTTCCTTCTTCCCAAAACTGATCACAGATAGCAGTGTGGACTGTCACTTCAATTTTGAATGAGACTGGAATTTGGAGATAAAATAGCTTTCAGAAGAAGAAATGGATGGGGCATGGAGAGGATAAGATAATGAGAGAGAAGCATGCAAAACAGGCTGGGCGAGGACACCAGAGATACATACAGTCAGGTAACATGACAAGGGGCACATCCAGAGAACATCACCTTAGTTCCTTGTTATGCTTCTCTGCACACTCCAACACACATGTATAAACACATGTATGTCATGGTCTTTTATGCCACACCAACCTGAATTGACTAAGTCCCAAGGAAAACAGAAATGGGGTTCTTACCTGGTCAGGGTCAGCCTGCACTGCTCCCCGAGGCTGGCTGGCAGGCAGAGAGCCCACTAGGATGGGACAGGGACCTTTTCTGGAGATAGGGCCTCCAGACTTCACGGCCTTCAATGATGCCCACTTACCCTGTATCCACCCTGACCTTCCTAGACATTTGGTCCCAAACTGCAGCTTTTCAGTTCATAATCCTAATAATAGGGAAATGACTGATATTAGGGAAATATTTTAATACTGTCCCTCCTACTCCACCATGCCTGCCATGTGGGAGGCTGCCATCAACAGGACATCTGACTTTGACCTACCTATAATCACTGTATCTCGGCCAAGTCAATTTTCTCATCCCCAAAATGAGAACTGATTCAGGGAGAAAGATATTAAAGGGTGACTGACCCCTAAAGTCATGTCTGTGACAATTTTTGATCTCGAGAAAAAAACAGAAAGTGCTTGGTACTATATTAATTATTTGCTTAAGACATAAGAGAAACTATGAAGAAATATATTAGTATAGTCCTCATACCAATTGTTCCATTAAAAATGACTTCGCCTAGCCGGTGTGGCTCAGTGGTTGAGCATTGACCCATGAACAACAGATCACAATTTGATTCCCTATCAGAGCACATGCTCTGGTTGTGGGCTCTGTCCCCAGTAGGGGGCATACAGGAGGCAGCAGATTGATGTTTCTCACCTATGTTTCTATTTCTCTATCCCTCTCCTTTACTCTCCAAAAAATCAATAAAAACATATATGTTTAAAAATCACAATGATTTCAATGGAAG